TACCCATCTTTTTTGTCGTTCTTCTATATATGACCACTAGGGCTGTAGGAGTTATGAGAGAAGGCGGTCATATAACGTTGACGCTGGCAATGGGCCCAGGCCATCGTTATCGAACTAGACAGATTATTGTGCAGAACGGCAGACGGCGATAGCTAGCTACTTGCGTGGTATTTATACAGCTGTTACTGGCGCATCATGTCAATCCGCGCCCCCGAGAGATACACAGGACCATGCAGAATCATTCAGTTGTATCCAATAGCTAGTGAGGGAACAGAGTTCGAAGAAGAGGATGTTTGATAACAATCATTTTAGAACCCTCCGTTGTTTCCGTTTTTGCCAGCAACTCCTATATGGATCCCTATATCCTTTCTGCCCGTCACTACGTATCGTCTTAGAAAGTTTATGGCTCTTGCAGCTTCTTAGACAGCCGTTAACATAGTTATTCTTGAAAAAAAATGGTGTATAGAAGAGAAAGGGGGAATCCTCTGCTAACCATGGAAAAAAACCATTAACAAGGGACGCCGGAGCCGACAACGCCGACGGTCAATTGCAAAAAGTTTCTACTCGAAATGCTTTCGACTTTGCTATTCATTCGTTAGACCATGGTGCCGAATTGGAAAAGGCTAGTTACAAAAGAACTCAGGCACAGGCAATCAACGAGAGAAAAATAGCCGGAACACTAATTTGACCCATAGGCCCGACAACAGGCAATATTGGGAGTATTTGCCTTTGGTTGAGGGAGGCAGAAAATGCCTTTAAAAATGGCAGGGTTCATTCAACATAGACTAGCAATGGAAATAGACCATATTTGCAGGAACGGAACGCGAGAAAAGAAACATTCCAGTGCTGACAAAACAAATACCTAAATGCTCAACTGGACGAAATTTGTTACTTGAATAATTCAGGCGGCTATTTGCTGGTAGCTAAATCGTCATACAGTAACGCATCTGCGTCAGGCCCTATTGGTTCGCTAGTTTTTCATCTTTTAGCTATTGTTTTTTAATCAAGGCTCACGTAGCCAGCTGAGGACTGCGTATCGACAAAGGCTTTGTGATGAGCGTTATGAAGGTAAAGTGTGGAACACTAAAAGCCTTCAAAGTACAGACAATTCGTTGCTTTACGAGGTACTGCACCAACAGCAGCAACAAAAATTGGAAAATTACGGGCATGCGTCAACAACGCCGTTAGGCTTAGAAAGGGCAATGCCCAGTTCTTTGTTCGAAATCGTACCCATCGAAAGATAAACTGCCGCACTTCTACATGACGAGAACTCACCACCTCTTATAAAATACACAGCTAAACTTCCATGTGTAGAACATCTAAAGGAATTGATTTAAGGACGCAGTTCCTTGTATAACACATAGTTTCTCTATCGCTCTCTGCCCCCTCGGACTCAGTTTAGATATGTTGCTCTCATATGCACGTATGAAACGAAAGCTCTATTTTTAAACCTTTCTTAGTGACTACACTTTCTTGCTGATACCATTACCGTAGCAGTGGAGAAACAACGTTGCGGCGCTAGTCCGCTTGACCACGCGAGGACGTGAAGTGGCCATAGTTAAAGGAGAAAATAGGTTTACTGCGTGCGACCTTCAACCTTTGCTTTTTCCCCGTCTTTGCCTCCTTGTGATTCTTCCGATTCCCACTTGCCCTTGCATACTTCTATATTGCATGTGTGCGCGTTTGAAATGACATTATGGATGGTAGCCGACAGCTTTTCTGAGGCCGCCGCGGTGATATTTGTAGGTGCGTTAGTCTTGCGGCTTTAGTCATCGTGCGAAGGCTTGTAACGAAAATGCGAATAGAGAAAGAGAGCATATGGTTCGTTCGTTTTCGAAGACGAAGGCGACTGCGGCGGCTGTCACTCCAGTCGATGATGATTGCATCTAGCGATCGCTGCAAACGGCAGCTTCCTTGCGTACCAACGTTGCCACCCCTACTAAAGGTAGTAATGCGGGATAATACGAAAGCTCGCAGAGCCTGGCGCACGCTAGGCCGAATAGCGGACGCCAGCCGATGGAGGCCTCCCAGAAGCGTACGAAAGTAGAAGAAGGACGTAAGGGAAGGACCTTAGCTACCGCTTCCTTCGCCTGCCCACGTCCTTCATACACTACGTCGACAAGGGCCGACCGTCGCGACCAGGCTGGGTTCGGATCGGATCGAGTCGGATAGCCGATAGGGGTCGTCCTTTTTCAATAGCGATAGCTCACGTGTTCTTGATGTTCATGTATTTTGCTCGTTTTGTATCGTTGTTCTATGGCTAGCTCGGTTGCAGAGCTTCTTTGCGCGGGTGTGTGTGCATGTGCATAAACGAGGTCATATATGTGCGGAGTAAAAAGAACAATTGCTTTCCAACCGGTCGCTTGCTTATAAAAGGGCAGTGGAAGACATATCGTGCGCATGCGTGTAGCTGCAAGTATGCATGCGGCACGATTCTAGAATAGCGGGCCTTGTTTCTTCAATATAGAAACCTGAATAACAGCGTATACGATGGTAGGGTAGGCGTACACGGTTTTTAAAATTTCTCCGTTTCACATCGCGACATGAAATACAGTTTATTTATTAACATGACATAGTGAATATATGTGTCTCTGCGCAGAATTTGAACCGGCACTCGGTTTTTACTTAATATATGAATAGAGGACACACAAGAAATGGCAGATACAGCCATGGGACATAATAATAACGCGATCTTTAAAAAAGTGGAACTGAGAATTAGTTTTAACGCATGCAGTTATCCAAATGTTTCGCAGGTTCAATACTAACTGCTATCGTTACATATGCAATAAAAATAAGTTAGTCTCAAAACTTCGGCTTTGTTATAAATTTTATAGACATATCCGTGAGTCATGTTAATAATCACTATAAGAGTAAACTATAGCCATAAATCCATAGCCTCAAAAACGTCCATAAGTTAGTTTATAGACTTTATGGGGATGAATTATATATATATATATATATAATTCTCTCTGTCTCCGTGTATATATATATACATATATACATGGCTTACAGGTTTTTTGTTTTCGGAAATACGTTTGACTTGTGAAAGGCACGGCAACCTCTGAAAAGCTTGACACTGCCTTAACGTCATCGTCTTCATAGGCAACTTCTTCGATTTTCTGAAATTTGACTACGTTTGATCACGTTGCAGTAGCCGTGTCTTTAGGCTTGACTTGATTTTCTGATGCCTTTGGAATTTAAATCTAGTTTTTCCGCCGACAGTGGTTTCTTGGACAGTGTTTCAGTTTTTATTCAACCAGTTTGCTTGACTCCCCATCTGATAACGCGTCGATAACCTCTTTTTTTTATATAAAAAAAAAATATATATATATATATATATAGGGAGAGAGAGAGAGAGAGAACAAGCTTCTGTAACAAGTTAACAGGTCGAGATGGTAATAAAATGAAGAGTCTGACTTTGACCACTTCCGCTTCATCATCGTGTTGTAAATTTCAGTAGTGGACAGACTGATATTTGGTGTCCAGTTATAATCAGCCTTGGACTTTGTGTGCAGAGCTGCTATTACAACCACTGAAAACATTTCGACTCTTTGGGTCAGCTGGCTAGCCAGTCTGCGCTATTCGCAACCTAGGCATCGCAGAAAAATCTAAATTAAGGAAGGAAAAAAGCCACCGCCCTGTATAGGTACAAGCGTGGGCTGTCCATGCATTAAGGGGTTCGACGGGGTTGATTTGCGTTGTAATTAGCAGCGGTATCTGGTGCTCGGGGGGTTGTTCCTAGGTACTAACTACCACTTCGTGCTGTTAAGCCGCAAAGATCGTCGTTCGAATAGGTTCGTCGTTATTTAGTAGCTGGTGGCGTTTACTTTTGATGTCGTGGATGAAGCTGTGAAATACTAAGTGTTCTGCGAGCTTCAGAGCCCCTTTCAAAACTTGCTAGTATTTTACCTCTTACTCGGCCCATCACTCACTTAACGGAATCTCGACCACTATCCCCGACTTTCACAACGGTACACGATACCTCTGCTGCTAACGTAACCATTACTTTGTTCTGCCTGATTTGCCCCTTGCCTTAGCCAGATGGCGTGTCGATGATGCTTTCATTCTGTTTCAAGAAAGTTCTGCATGTGTTGCTGATTTTCGAGATTCCGCAGATTAATTTCTTGGGCTTTCAAACAGACTATTCGTCGGACAAATCAACTACCTGCGTGGACTGCAGAAGGCCAGCCGATAAGTTCGATAACGTGTACCTTACCTAGTCCCCATGTAACTCTGCCCGCTGCAACCCTTAGTGACACATCCTTCCCCTTACAAACTGGCTTTACTTCAGTGTCCCATTTCCCTGGGCCTGAGTTGACCTGCTTGCTTCCCTATCCCTGTATTTTTATGTATGTCAAGGTTTAGTAAAATCGAGCTTTTAATATATTGTGGTAAGGCCAGTGCCTCGTCGGTGCCCGCAGCGGCGGTGCATGGCCTCAGCCACTGCGCGCAATACAGCTCCGTCTGTCCAAGCCGACCGCATAATTTTCACTGGGCAGCTCTCCCAATAGTCCATTGAGACACTGGACCGTCGAGTTATTCAATAGCCTGCCCCTTTGCTATTCACCCTTGCCCTAAACAGTGGATAGACGCAATCCTGAATGAGAGGGCTAAGACGGAAGAAGACGCAGGCGCAAGCGTTGAGTAGTCCCACAAGCTTCCTTCTGCTATAAAGCTTGCATGACGGCTTCAAGCCGGCGATGCAGGTAATATTATACAGCGGTGTATGAATACCACTCACAAGCCAGCTTTATTATCTACTGTTATTCCGGCCAAACAGGGGCAGTTGAAATTGATGAAATAAAAAAATAATTAATGGTTTGTTCCAAGCAGCCTTTTGTAATATTCGAATGGAATACTGCTAAAAATCTTACTTGTAATCCTTCAGTTAGGAAAGTTCTAGCTTTATAGCATTGAATAACAGGAACATTGCTTCGGAAATCAAATATAGCAGTAGTTATCTATTTTTTCGTTGTTGTCCTTTTCTGTCAATATTCCAGGTGTCGTACGCCCGCCCGAGCAGCGAGGCGATTAAGGGCGCCAACCTGTACGTCAGCGGACTGCCCAAGTCCATGACCCAGCAGGACCTCGAGCAGCTCTTCGCCCCTTACGGCGGAATCATCACGTCGCGCATCCTCTGCGACAACATCACCGGTAAGCAAGAGGCCCTCAAACTTTCATTCTGCAACGACAGCAGCATTTGAACTCACAGTCATTTGAACAGTCATAGTTATATGGAAAGGCGTAAACTACGCGATGTCTTCTCGTTGTTTTACAAAATACAGCTTCTCTCTTACAGGAATGATAATGATGCACTATTATTATTTTTAAAAAGAAAATGACATTGAGCGTAAATATACAATGAGCATAAATACACGCTCAAAAATAAATTTGAGTAAACCTCTTTCCTTGTTAGTGCATGCAACAACAACAACAAAAGCCATTTTGTCCATCTTCGTCTTTTGGCCCCTAGTCGTGAGGTAATAAGCGTTTGTTATCATTCCAAAGCCATCCTCCCTGTGCGCAGCGATTCCCCGACCGGTCTGTGACGTACCGACAGTATTTGGTGTCTTTGTTCTGTTCACTTTTCCACCCATATCCAATGCTTCCTTGTTTTTGTCTCGCTCTCCCCTCTGTCTGGATCTGGCTACCTTTGCTGGCAGATTCTCCATCCATCGACTAACCGGAAGTCTCTGCAGCTTTGGAGATTCGGCCATTGACTCCGCGGCTCTGTGCTCATCGTTTCTTGCCGCAAAATGGAGCCAGCGGTCCTTTTTGAAGGCAGCAAACGATTTACTAAAGAAGGCTCTGTAAAGAGTGGAGCTCACCCGCAGCGGCGGCGTGGTGCCGGCAGACCAGCGGGTAGGGTTTACGGTTCGAGCTCAATAAGGCATTACTGTGCGAGAAGGGGAGATGGTCCTCAGGCATCTGGAATGAAGGGAAAATCTGCTGCCGCTAGAGTTTCAGCCGCTTTGTTGAGTACATGGAGAGACTGTGGCCTAGTAGGGGAATGGGTGACCGTGATGCAGCATCGGTCACATCGCGGACCAATCGAGTGTCTCGGCTATGGGTTAGTGGGCTCGGTGGCGACTGTCGCCAGACTCCCTGGACGGTGCAGTAGCAAAAACGAAGCGCCACGCGGCGATGATCCATCTTTTGGCCTTTGGGATCAGACACGGCCACGCTTCAGGACGTATACTCAAGCCGGTATTCTCTCACTCTCTTTTTGATTCCTCCTATTTTTATTTCCCATGCTCCGATACGTTCGCTTCCGATTAAAGCCAGACTAGGATGATACTCTAACTCCTGAGCTTATTTAAGCTCATAGACAGCAAAAATGAGAGAAATACACGTCCGTCGAACGCGTCTGTATTACGACTCTTACACGGCGAGTCCCTTCCCTGTGATCGTCATCGTCTGCCACAATCACCGGTTTCGTTATCAGCAAAAGTAGCAGATACTTTTATCTTTCGCGCTAAATTCACCACTGAGACGGTGTATTCCGATAAGCCATTATGCTTCGGTGTGAATCACGAGCGCAACACAGAAGACTATTCTGTACGACATCAAGGGCTCTTCTATACGTACCGACTTTTCTGGAGATAAGAACAAGCAAGCAACGGACTTTAAGCTTGATATGTCTCTGAACTCTTGTGATACTACGGTATCGGTTCTTTGCCACGTAACTTAACTGTCTTCTTACTTACTCTGTGACACTGTATTAAATTTACAATGCTGACTTTACCTGGGGTAAACTTTCATTTTGGCTTGTCTCCCTTTTATTGTATCCCGTATGTCAACGGGACCATCCCTGTTACGGCATACTCGTTATAATGGCCGATTTCTAGAAATCGAGGTGCGCCCATTACCGGAATCGGAAAACAGATATCCAAGAAAATATCCTTGTGAGCATCCCCACGGGCTTTGGCGATAAAGACGCTCCGTTTTCAGAACGATGATCCGTGAGTGATCTCGAACGAATGCAACAACGAACACAGGCGAAACGATGACTGACTGACTGAATCAAACTTTTTTCTCATTTTATCGCTCGCCATGGCCACAGACGTTTTTTCTCTCTACCCATGCATTCGCTGCCCGTTTCTTTTCGACGAATATCTTCGTACTATCCGACGGAGAGCGTTTCATAGCATATAATCCTGATTGATTTTGTCTTGTTCCCGTTATGAACCCAGCAACCGAAAAACAGTCCGTAGTGACGCTTACGACGTCAACATCAATGCAGCGAGCCGTCGTGACCCAGAAGGGGTAGCCTATGGTCAGCCCACCTCATTTCAGTGTGGCGTCTGTGCGTTCTTTGCTCGTGTGTACGAATCACAGCCATTTGTACCTGAAAACGCCCTAAATCTTTCTTTCAAATCCCTGACCGCTCCCCCAGTATCTTTTCCCCATTGCCTTCCTCATGCTCCTGTTCTATACCATGCCTCTCGTCCTTTTAGTCTGTCTATTATACTACCCTCTCCTCGATGGATGGTGTGTGAGGAAACAGTAACGAAGCCGGGAGGGGCGAAACTCCGTCTGAATCTTCACTACTAATTTGGTTTTTGCCGCTGCTTCGCCGTTTTGCGGCTGTTTGCTAGGCGTCATCTTTCTCATGGGATAGCGACGACGTTGATGTCCCTATAAGTGCTGTAGCTCCGCCCAACAGTGGAGACAGCAGTAGCGCTGGAAGGCTAAGAAATAAGGACGAGCAGTTCGCTTCTACCTAACCGGCTCACCCATGATACGCCTGTCGCCAGGCAGCCAGCGGATATTAGGTGGAATACATTACGTGGATATCATTGTGTCGTCACACGTTTATCAACGGCTCGGACAGTTCCAGTCTCAATACACCCCATAGCTTCGAAAACTCTCCTAGATCTACAACAACCTTTCTAGTACCGCCACGTTTCAACGTTCTCGATACTCATACAATCACTAGCACTATCACCTGATCCCCTTCCGCCGCCCCCATCGCCACAGCCACTGACGGTGACTCCAATGACGCTAGCCAATGTAAAGGGTTCGTTCTCTACAGACCGACTGTTCGTTCTTATTGCTCCCTGTGAGCTCTATTTCTGCTGCGAACCGTCTCGCTCTGAAAAAGGTTTATATTGGTGGAAGAATATAAGCCGTTCGACTCACCTTGCATCAGTCGTTCTTACGCCGCTAGCTTCGGTTAGCCTCTTGCATCGTTTCTTCTATAGTCTTTGCCTGCCGATCGCAGATCGCTTCTGCAGGGACTCCACACAGCGGCCTATAGCCTCAACCCAGTCAAGCCAGCTACAAAATCTTTGCCCTTAGATACAACGAACGACGACAGGATTCTATGCTGTCGTCCCATTTTTTCTCAGTTAGAAGCATGCGTCGCTGTCTAGTGACGTCCTTCTCTGCCTGCCCTTGTTCAGCCCACCCAAAGCTTCAGCGTAGTCACACTTGCCCCGACGATCCTACCACCTTCACTGAAGAAAACCAACGAACTTCCGAAATGTGTGTTTTCTGATTTGAGAGTTTTATCACGTTTTTGTCGTGGGTCGGTCGTAGTACGGAGTCCTGGTTGGCCACCGGGAAACCATCAGCTGCTAACTTTGCTGCGAAATGGCAACAGACGAAACCAGGTCGTACAACCGCGCCGGCGCAATCAGCTTGCCCACTTCCACATAATACCACCATGGAGGAGATCGTGGATCTATCTAATGCCATGGGCGTCACGGAAGGTATAATTTAAGGCTTGCCATTCCTTTGTTCATTCAATGTGCGCACGGATATCCGCCTCGGTTTCGTTCGTACTGTCGCTACGGGTCTCTGGCCATTTATAGTTCCCAATGGCGGTTTCGGTTCGGAACATTCCGAGAAGGAAACGATGGAAACCCGTGTGAGGCCATGTTTCCTTGCTGTTTATAGATACTACTGCTTCGACAAAAAAAACATTTGCTTAAATTTACAACGTACAAACATACCATACACATCAGTGCAAGCAAATATATTCTTTTCTCGTTTGATTGTTAGATCATACGGCGGTCAAGTCCTCCGATAGCTTCTCCAAAAGACTGCGTATTACGGGTATTGGATAGTTTCGGTGTTCTATTCGATAGCCATCTTTGATTCAAAATAGTTCAAAGCTAAGCAAACATGCCTACGACCTGCTAAAGCCCCGGTAGGCGCAAGCTATGATTATCGGCTTTGATCTCTGAGCAAAAAGGTCATCATACATCATGGTATCAGAGACGACGGGAAAAAACCTGACCTCTCGTCAAGTTGTATCTTTCAACGGTAAAGAGTCAATGGCTTTCTAAAAAACTACGAGGCTGTCTAAAGAAAGGTGTTGGAGGCAGCCTGCAACCGCCATATTAACTTATTTTTGTTACACATACAATTCACCGAGAAAGAATCGCTACTTTTTTTTGTACACCTAAGATTAGTGAGCAACTTCCCTTGTTATGTGCGCGTTTCAGAAACGCATTCATCCACCCATAACCATGTGCGTTATCTATGTTAATGCTAGTGCAAAGGTCTATCAATTGACAATAAAATGATTTCCTTACTAACATAGCGGGATTGATTCACTTGAAAACCCAATCACATTCTGTTGTCCGCGTATCTTTACTAATCCCAAATCGAACTGAGTTGCTGGTTTATAAGCTTCCCTTTTGTATTCTCTTCGTAACCTACTGGCCTCTGTTCCTTTTACTCGATTCGGTAAAGGCAGGTATTTAAGAGTTCGTACTGACTTTGTTTGTCTGTCGTTTATCTTCGAAAGTCGAAACGGTAGGCAAGACTACGTAAAAGGGTCAATTGGACAGAATCGTTTGCTTTCGGGTCGCAGGGTTAATTTTCATTGGCTCTGGCTAGGCCATTGCCGACGGGCGACCTGTATGTGCTCCGTTATCGAGAACGATCGATCGCCCTATGATAGGAAAACTGGGCAGTCGCAGGCTTGGGTAGACATCTGATATCGCTCCTAAGCCCGCACTACATCTGCATGATAAAAGCCAGCAAGAGCATTTATAGCACGGTATCGAGTAACTTGCCGTAACATGTACAGCATGCAGGCAGTGAACAGGCATCGTCCATCTGAAGACGCCTTTGAAAGTACCCGAGCAAAGGCTAATTGCAGCTGACGAGGAAGTGTGGACCAAGCGAAGAAAAGACTTTCTGCTTTGTGAACCTTTCGATTGGCTCTAAGCGGATGAACGATTCGATGCACCGAAGTAAGCAACGAGACCGTTGGCAGATGGAAAAGCATCGCTTTAAATAGGGACTCTGCAACATTTGCTTTGAAGAGAGGTTAAACGCCTGAGCACCTGTAAAGCGCTCGGGGTGAGATTTATCTTGAGCAGGTTGATCCTGATGACTCGTTGATCAGAATGAGATCTTGCCGTTTTCTGTATTATAGTTCACACGAGACTTTAGTAGTACAAAGATGTTTCAAGGCGAACTTGTCTATCGGCGGCAATCTACAGACCCCGGTTGATTGTGCTTCGTATTACCACAGCTACAATGCCAGTTTGGAGGGTGCTAGACCATCTGTAATGGTAACGTGGACCGACTGCTTTGAAAAATACTGTAAGGCACCGTTCCTGAGTGCGTGGGTGGATTCTGCCCTATATACTCATTAGCTGGAGTTTACATGACGTAGCACCAGCATATTACTGACACACTAGTAGGCAGCTTGCTTTTTTGATTGCCTTCCTCCGCTGACTGTTACAGCTCCGGAGTGCTTCGGCCTGCTGCTATTCCTTCATTTGCTGTGGAGCTGTGCAACCAGCCCTGTAGCGTCCACGCCGCAAACACGGAGACTCGGTTCACCCCTACAATGTGTTACCCGTGTTGTCTTCCTTCGCCTTGATCTGTGCTCATTCGTTTTGCCCCATGCTTGTAATGCTCTAACTCTCTTCGAGGGATGATCACCATTGACGGTTACTGTTTCCTGCGTTATGCTGTACTGCTGATGCTGAGTACGCTTTCCGTGTGGTCGTGTGAGCCTTAGAGGCCGCGTCTTGCCACTGTTATCCACGTACCGATTTCTAATTTAATTTCGGCTGTCCCAATCGGTCTGACTAACGTTTTCGTTCATTCTCCTATATCCAAACAGGCGGACAGCTCGCCAGAGGGATAGACAACAGATGTGGCGAACTGCACGACTTGTTGTATTGGGCCGTATACAGCTGTATCGCACGCCGCACGAAACGGACCAGCAAACATGGGGAACGACGGCTCAATGCAAATAGACAAATACCCTTTGGTTACAGAACCGGTAACTGCGCCGCTGACTTCGACGGTTTGCTCCTGCTAGACTTTGCGGGACTCTGTTTAGCTCTATTCGGCAAACAGACACAGACGATAATATAAAGTGGCACCACAAACGTACAGACTCGTCCTGCTCTAATAAGGTGGTTAGTAGGCAACTTGCGTTTTGTCATGTCGTCGTCTGGCAAACCAAAAAGTCGCCTAAAAGCTGCTCAACGTTGACTTACGTCACAACGCGCACAGCCATAACCATCGAAGGCAGAAGGTTAGACCCGATCAATCGCCGTCACTTTCGGCAACAACAAAATGCACGCTGGCTACAATCGTCGGTCATGTGCCTAGGGAATTGCCGAGTACGTTTGCACAGCAAGTTCTCACAGGCCTAAGAAAGGCTCCCGACAACGGCTACCGACAAGGACTGATACCTTCCTTTTTTTTTTTGCATATATATGCTTGTGATATGGCGCGCTTTGTACGGCCCTATGTGGATTCTCTTCCCTCTATTGCTTCCGGTCCCCTGACACCAAGAGCAGTTGTTCAGCAACTAGCGATAATGCACTGAAAATCCAATGGAAATCATAGTGGGAAAACCGTAGGTAAGCTGTCCGCTGCGGTGGTTGCGTCTCCCGAACAGTTTTTTCCTTCATTGCAGTACCCTCTCTTTTATGGTGTCAATCCTGTTTCCTTGTCAGAACACGGAAGGACTTTGCGTGGCAACTCAGCTGATATTTGACGGATGCAGTGGCGTCCCCTTGCCACCAATATTACCATCTTGCCGGCCACTAGTTAACACCACGTGACTCGACTTTACAAGTAACCACAGAAAGGGCCTCCACTGGACGTCCGGCTCCGGTTAGTGAGGTTTGTACAATCGTGCAAAATTCGATGCTTGCTGACATTTTTGATGTGCTTGTCTTTGGCGCGCCCGGAAATATCGTCGACATACCGCAGTTCGTGTCGTTTTCTTAACGCTTGTCTTCCTGATGGTTACGGCATCCGGACGCTACCACTCTTGCTTGAATTGTTCTACCTTGGCTATTTTCGCTTCGTAGTGTCACTGGCTAATAAACGAATATCTGTTTCAGGCCACTGTTTTTCAGTGACCGCCTACAAGACCGCCGAGACGATGGTGGTCACGATACTGATCTCGTTAAGCAACCAGTGGACGACTTTTTTCGCTTTTCGTAATAGGGACTTGAGCTCATTAAATATACCACACCCGTTCGTCTGGATACATGAGACACTGTCGCAGAAGCGGACAGTGGGGGCGAAACGGTTTTTAGTTTCGACTGAGGGCTACCCCTTTTCTCTCGCACGCACAAATGCCCATCCGCCTATGGCTCGTAGGGATTCGAGACAGATGGGGAACTGATCCACTTTCTATTATCGCATCGAGCAGGCGGCTACCCGATGATCAGTCCCGGGCTAGCAAACATAAGCACGGGCAGAAACTCATCTCCCAGGAGCAATCATACGGGTGGCAATGATAATTCAACTCCGCCGCCTCTTTTGCACTTGTCAGCGGTCCAGCCAGTCAAAGCCCCGGTTCCAAATCAGATAAAACCACCATCGGTCCCGTCGTTCGGTGACAAATGGGTGGCCGGATGTTTATCTTTTATTTGGTCGTAGTCCGACTTCTCCGGACGTTGGGTAGAACTGTTTAGCTAGTCGTCTAGCTCGGATAACTACCACAGCTGGCTCACGTATGCGGAACAGAATGTTTAGATAACGATAAGTAACGGACGACTGAAGTGTAAAAAACAAAATACTAGGAGAAGTAATTAATAGTTTTCTACTTAGCTTCTGATTGTCGTCGTAAAACTTCAGATTAATTGAATCTTTTTTTTGATATATAGCTATTATTATTTTGCATATATAATACTAAACATACTAAGAACTATAATGACTAATGTGCTTTTTCTTCTCTACCTGTTTGTTCTGTATGATTACTTTGCTTTCATTACTATTACTATTATCAATATGCAGGGCTTTCCAAAGGCGTCGGCTTCGTGCGGTTCGATCAGCGGGTCGAAGCTGAGCGCGCCATTAAGCATCTGCACAACACCGTGCCTGAGGGAGCTACCGAGGCCATCACGGTCAAGTTTGCCAACAACCCAAGTAACAACGCCAAAGCTATTGCGCCCCTCGCGGCTTACCTTTCTCCGCAGCGCCGTTTCCCGGGACCGATTCACCATCCTGCCAACCGATTCAGGTATGGCTTGCCTCCGCTGTCAGCGGCCGCAGCCTCGCCTCTCGCCAACAACCCATCGACCAGGTACGGGACAAGTTCGGCTCCGAGAAAATAGGAAATCATATTCAAAAAAATAAAGTAAAATGTAAAGAAAAAAAGTATTAGAAAACAACAGAAAACGCTACTAGTTTTCATTTGAATGATCAGTTTGATCACAATTGATTTTGACAGAAAAAAGTCCAAGTAATCTTGCTCGATTTTTAACGATTTAAATGGACTGGGGTGCCCAATGGGTACGTGTGGACGTAACCACTGGTTCCATCCCAACTTCTCGGACTTCGACGAGGACAACTCGCGCGCCGGCGTCATCTCGCTATTCGCCAAAAGTCAGTCGACATTAATCTAATGAATCATTGAGGGGTAACTTAGATCTACCGATGAAAACACACACATTGGACAAAGAATAGGAAACAACTGACAACGAACGCAAAAAGAATCGCCGGCCCGCGAGTTCAACTCGCGGCCTCTTTTCTTCTGCATCGGTGCCGTCCCGTTACTGGTTCTGTTATTATTGCCTGGATATGTTGTATGCTTTATTTATTAGCTTATATTCATTGTTATGCCGTGTTACATTATTGGTTTATTGTTGCTATGCTTTGATTGGACCCTTGTTGAAATCGTTTATTATTATTATTATTTTCATTATTGAAATTTCCTGACTAATTGAATTGAATTAAATTATGATAATTTCACACCTCGGCCACGTCGTGTGTGTCCTTCGAATGGGACGTTTTTAGACGAGCTCATTCAACTTTTTATACCTTTTGTTGCTTCGCCATTGCACTTGAGTCTTAAACGTTGTGTCTTTGTTGAAATTTTGCCGTCTCTAGTCTGAAACTTTTGTCCCGCAGAGAGATCATTTCGAGTAGATCTCTGCTTCGAGACAGTTCGATGGAAATACATTTTATCGTGCGTTTGTGACGAACCCTCAAAACTTAACTGACCATCAACTTCACGGTTTGCCGACGAATGACTCGAAGTTGCTGGATTCGGTTGACGTTGATTTCTACCATTCTGCAGCGTCGACTACGAATTAACTTAGAAATAACCAAAAAACCGTGTAGTTAGAACTAAGTTTACGTTAATCTTTTCTTTTCGTTAACAACTTGCCTGACTTCGCACTAATTCAGTGATAGAACGTTTGATTTTCTTTTGACGGGACGACCCAGAAATCAAGACGTAGACCCACCGATCTACGACAGTGACGAATAATACACATATTGATGTGAATAATTTAATACTTTTAAAATTGTTTGTAGACCTGATATCATATTATTACTGAATCATAAGTTTACTTAGATAGATACAGATTATCGAGCGAAAAAACACGACGCAATTAGCCGACTTATGCGTCGTCAATAGAAATTTTTTAATTATCAATGTAATATCTACGTGCAATGAGGCATGTACGTACAAACGACAGAACAGATCCTTTTACGTACACAGTAAAAGTAAATTGCATTTCCCTTTGACAACCCTTTATTAGTCTCTTTTTGGGCAGTTGCCGAAGGAATATTTCACGTAATTTCAAAGGGATTCCAACGGATAATGAGGTTGTATACAATGTGCCGCAGTCAAGCCCTTCCGTCAATTAATTGTAGTAACGCACGTTTTGAAATGAGGTCTCCGCCTTAAAAAACGCAGTTTAAAAAAGTTCAGGGATTTAGGGAGAAAAGAAAAATGGGACACCGTTCAAAATAACAATGAACTGAAATAGAAGGGACGCGACCGGTAAGGCCAAAACGAGAGCGAATTGTTGCGTAGTCATCCTTGAGCGAACCCCTGAGACATACCAGAAAGGTTTGCGCCAGCCTCTTAGCAGGATGATGTTTATTGAGATAACGAGTTTGGAGGATTAGACATCTCTGGCCTTTGGCCTCAGAGTTGCGGAAATTCACAAAGGGAATGAGCCGCTGATCAGTTTTGTTAAAATCATTTCCCTCTTGTTAGCAGTGCGCTCACTGCCGCCTGCTAGATATAAATTCGGTTCATGACTCACACACTGTACTTAGCAGTGTATAGGATTTCCCAAAATGATTAAAATTATATCATCTTACTTGTCTCTTTGAGATATCTTGGCACAGCAGAAGTTCTGAAGACAATCTAATCAAACGGTGTTTATTTGCATCGTGACCCAGGCCATATGGTCCATCACGAGCGGCCAGGATCTGATTATATAACATGCTTACAATACAAATTAAAAAAATCATTTTTCTTCAACTCCTAGCCGTATATCTACTCAATGATTTGGGGCAGCGCTTTATTTACCGGTGACAATCACAGAGCATCATCTATATAGGGTGAGCCTCGAGTTTGACTACCGGTCAATGAAGAGAACACCATTCAAAACCTACCAAGGCCCTAAAGACTTCTGTTCTTTAGCATGTGCTAATATGTCGCAGTACGATTAAAGACGAGCTACTGTGGAAGTTACTTGAACAGGTCAGACAAGCTTAAATTTAACCGAACAAAAATGATGACAACCATCTCTTTGTTGACAAGCAGACAGATGTTTTTGCAGCATCAATTACTCGGACGCGTTTTGCAGATTTTGTGACGGTACATTTTCGTGTCGCGGCCATGATGACTGCGCAAAAGTACTTTCAACCTCCAGCCCTGTAGCGCTATGCCGTACTGATCTATCATGCATAGATATTCTGCTTCACGGGGGATTCACAAGCGAATTGCACACTCCACTAACTAACGTAAAAAATGAAGAATAAAACAAACTAACAGAGGCAAAAGTGCAATGGCGGGGCGATATTAAAGTCCTCCGCGCCACGGACCACGTATCGTATCACACACATAGATTCAGCGCAATGAGAACTAACCAAGATATTCGATTGTTTTTCGTTTTTCAATCCTTTCTGCGTGTTGTTCTGATGTTTTCATTTATTCGACGCGTGTATCATTGTTGTTTTTGTATGTGCGTCGTCACGTTGCTTTTCTCTATACAAACAGGTACTCTCCTCTCGCCGGCGACCTGTTGACCAACCCCCTACTGGCTGGTAACGCTATCAACGGCACGGGCTGGTGCATCTTCGTCTACAATCTTGCCCCGGACACGGAGGAGAACCTACTGTGGCAACTTTTCGGTCCGTTCGGCGCTGTGCAGAGTGTCAAGGTCATTCGCGACCTTCAGACCAATAAGTGCAAGGGATTTGGATTTGTTACTATGACCAACTATGATGAAGCCTTGGTTGCGATCCAGTCCCTCAACGGTTATACCCTGGGTAATCGGGTGCTTCAGGTGTCCTTCAAGACCAATAAGGGCAAGTCCTAAGCAGGCAGACGGCAACGGCACTCGACGACGACGACAGTCCTCCGGTATCCGCTTTCATCATCAGACGTAATCCATCGACAGCAGCAACAGCAACAGCAGCAGACGCAGCAGCAGCAGCAACAACAACAACATTAGTGATAAGCTGATGCCAAGAAATATTTCGAATTTATGATTGATCATGAACAGCAAAAAACACTCACCAGTCTGCTACTACTCAAATTTCAAAACAAAAGGTAACAAACAGCTAAAAAAAACAAATGTAAATATTCAGATCGACTCCGGAGGACTGGTCTCACTCAAAACTCAAGGCTCAACACTCTAATTACCAACCGTAAAGTTGTCTATATATATGTGTGTATATATATATGCATGTGAGAATACATCGCAACAAGGTGTGCCGGCAAACGATAAACGTCCCTCGAAAAGGAACTCCTCAACGTCTACTACCACCAGATTGTGCTGGCCACCTAAAAAGGGGATCACCGCGGCCAAACCCAATTTATCGCTATTCGCGATATAAATCTATCGTTTATATCGATCGTCAATCGCATGCATACAGCAATTGTTTCGGCTAGCCACAATGATCATTCGAATCCTAGTATTTTTCAAACGAGTCATATAATTAAAACATTGTAACTACGTATAACTGCAATCTGTTACAACAACAACAACAACAACAACAACAAAGACTGCGTGAAACGTAAGAAATCTCTTTTCGTAAATATTACGTCCCGCCATCTTACCGAAACCGGAACGAACTAAACGTCCCACGTACGCTGATGAACGACGTATGCTCGTTGAGAAATGGTTAGGGCACAGCTCTTCTCGTATCCAATTAGTAGACATCGACCTGCAACCTAACTCATGTTGTTGCTGTTGTTGACGGCCCCCAACAAAGACCCACAAAGAGGTCACGAAGCATTCACAGCGATTCATTCGTGGCTGGCTAACCAAATAAACATTGTTGCCTATGATAACCTATCTAACTAGGTAGAAAAAAAAACAGAGAGTAAAAGAAAAAAAATGCTAGAGTGATTCAATCGTCTTGTCGTGACCGGGACTACGTCCGTGTGACTATACTGTCGCCAATGCAGATGTAACCGATGTGGGGAAAGTAAACTAGAATCGCTTGGTAACAACATCGACCACAATGTTACACTTACTACAAGATTGACACATCTTCCTTAACACCTCAAAACTAACACAGCTAACTAATCTGGGATATACTCGCAAAAAAAACGTTGTAGACAATATTGTTTAAACCAAATCAGGATTTGACGGCAATATATATATATATATATATATATATATATATATATATATATATATAATGTACTCTATCTGATTGCTTGTACACGCAGGTAATTTTACAGAGCTTTGATCGTGGATAACAATCAGTGAGAAGCTGGTACCATCAAACAAAACCCACAACAACAACAAGAACAACAACGATTGAAACTCAATGAACAATAGCAATCAACAAGAACAGACACACGTGAACCTTTCTTGACCGATATCAATCACGTTGATAGACACGCCACGGCGTGAGCGCACTGCAACTCGTCGTTTGCCCTGGCCATAGATACATGTGTATATATATATACAGTCAAACATAATTCTTCAATTTCTCCCTCATATAAACGTAAACCCGTTCTCCAAACTTATCCCACAAGTACCCCTACACCAAGCGTCAATTCATCTATGAATTTTGCGGCCGTCAAGCCACCACAACCCATCCGCCACCACTTAATTACCCGCGTTTCACACCAAAGACACACAGAACTATATCTATATATTCATATATATATAAATAAGAGAGGAAGATGCCGACGATGATGATTCAGGCTGACGATACTTCATAGTCAGTGATGTCCTAGTGATGTAAAACGTGTTCGAATGCGTGAAAACGATGAGACACATACTTCAGCAAGTGATATTTCAGCGACATTCCAGGGACGGAAAAGGCGGCGAAGCTTCATCTTGAACAGCCCCTAATTGGTACGGTCCGAGGCCACTCTACGTTAGCCAGGAATCGGCCCAGCCTGAACGGCTGAATTACTGATTCTAATGAAAACGCGCGCATGAATGGTCAGAGAATGTAACGCCAACAGGGAACAACTGTTCTTTGGGCCGTACCCGTCCTGGAGGTCCCCCACCAACTGGACAGGTCTACTAGTGATCCATTGAGAGTTGGATGAACGCCTTCCAGTCTATGCCATCGGGTGCTTGTGTGTATCCCGATAATAACAAGGGCAACACGAAAACACCATCGAATATTTACGACCTTAATATTTACGGATGAATATCACCCATACAGTTATTAACAACAGTCGAACGACAGAAACAACCGTATAGTACTTGATGATCGACCGTACATTCCATTTTGACAAGCGTATATGATGATGAGCTTATAAAGAACCACAAATCTATTTAACACCAATAAACGATTTTTGATTAACCTAAAACAACGATAAAGCATAAACGCCGAAAGGACGTCGTTGCCCAAGAACGAAAGGGAAGTGTCGATACGTAGAATCGACAACAGTATGTAGAGGTACTTCTATAAATTCACATAGAAATGAGAACTAAACCGCCCCCTTCCAGTATGCCCGACACATTACGCATCTTCAAAGGTCAATCCGTGGGAAGGAAAGATGCACAGAGAATGCTGCAAAGCAAGCGGACGGGGTTTATCCATTAATACAGGTTTGGAACCGACTTACCTCGTCGCTATGCGATTTCACATGGGCCAAAAACCAAACTTTTTCGGAAAGCGGGGTAGCGCACAGCATAGGCTCAAAGACGACACATTCGAAACCCTATTCGTTCCATGATGCTGAACGTTCACTTGGGTTTGTTGTACAATGTGTGTATTAATGAAATCTGTGTATTATCGGCAGGACAAGCTAACCCGTAGGAGCCCGTTATTCGCTCACATTTCTCAAATGAACATAGGCAACATATTGCTGCTGGCTGATTATGCCTAACAATTCTATCATTATAATAGTTGATGGAATTATGACGATAATAATGGTGTTGCTGCTTATGCCGAAGATAAAAGTCTACCGTCTCCCAGCCATTTACACAAAGGCAAACGGGAAAGGGACTGTATGAGAGAGTTTCGTAGTGGTAAGATATAGCGCATTCTAAGCAGCAGTTAATGTCAACCACCAACGGAAAAAAACAACCAACTGAAAGTGATAACTAAAATGCTATTGCCACCGTAATACCACACATTTCTAGACGGTCTGAAACGCTGCCACACGTGATGAAATAGTATACACATTATAATATAATAATTAATGCTATTATTAGATAGAGTGTAGTTCCCTTTAACGACTGATTGATATTTACACATTTCCGGGTCGAAGTAATTGTGAACACAACCAATTGCCGTATAAACAGCATCATAGGAGAGAGTAGGGCATGAGGGAAAGAAGGAACGCAAGAGGGAGAGGGAATGTCGCGTAAAAGAGGGGGGGAGAGAGAGAAGAGGTAAAGAGAGAGAGAGGTACTCACCCTGCCCCCTGGTGATTGCGAGTGGATTATAATAAATATACACATAGGAGAGAGCGAGCGAGCGAGCGAGCGAGGTTATTACTGATAACGAATAATGAACGAAAGACAGACAGACAGACAGACATACAGACAGAGAGACAGACAGAGAGAGAGAGAGAGAGAGAGAGAGAGAAATAGAAAAAATGGTGCGATAGTGACGTGTGAAAGAAACAGAGGGGGAAGAATGCTAAAGAAAAAGGATTAATTAAATTAACGAAAGATACGCGAATTTAACTGATGGTTATTAATCGATCGATGAACTCTAGTTAGTCGCACCGATCGTTACCGAAACGCTATCGAGAGAGAATAGAAACAAAAGAAGATGAAGAGGACGCAACAGATTTCGGAACCATGATAATAATAACATTGCAACAATAATATAACAACCTAAAAAAACTTTAATAATGAACAATTACAAAAAGATAGGCTGATATTTCCAAATTGAATAATAAACGACACTACTACTAATAATAATAATAATAATAACAAACTACACAAATAAACAAACAACTGAACAGACGAACTTCGCCAACGCGAAATGAAAGAGGAAAAGAGAGAAAAAAGAAACAGACGAAGGACGTTTCATTATGAACGACTAATAAAAGACAATTAAACACAACTTTAGGAAAAATAAGACTAAAACAACTGTGATACAACAACAACAACAGCAACAGCAGCAACAACAACCACCACTCCTCCACAATTGAAAATGCTAAAGCTGGAATATAAACGATAGCATAAGTAATGTAACTAATATTGATAATAACAAATCTTACAAAATTAGGATAACGACAAAAGTAATATCCCATAATAATTTACTGAGTCATCATCAACTCTAACACTAGCCTTTACCACTTACAAACATTATCTCAACTCAACACTTTCCCCAAGCATAATTTCCAACCAACACAAATCTCACGTTTACAAATTTAGAAAAAATAGCCTGACTATAACAATACAGATCAATATTTATGCTACAAAAGAAGTAAATTTGAAGAGTCATCCTTCTAGGGTTCGGTTCTGCCAAATGATAGAATGTAGCACTGTTATACTCTTATGAAGAAGACAACGAGACGAGATAGAAATTCAGCTCCCCGAATTTTCTCTCTCCAATCATTCCTGTACCATCCTGTAAGGAAATATAAAAACGTGTAATATCTACATCAATATAAAAGACAAATAACATAAACCAAAGTTGAATAAGGAGTTGAATGCGATATACCATTGTATGCTGCCGAGCCTTTCGTTTGCGGTGCTGCTGCGCATTCTTATAAAAAGCGAAACTTATAGAGCGAGGACGTGATTAAAAAACAAGCGATAAATAATGACATAGAACGAAGCGCGCGAGAAAAATAAGTGATTTTCGTACTTGGCCAGCAGCAGCAGCAGCAGCAGTGGCAAGGACGTGCATAATTGAAGTTAATATTGATAATAATTAATGATAACAATGGTGAACTATTAAGACAGAAAATAGTTTTTGCCAGAAATCTGGCGTTCCGCGATGAACAGTTGAACACAATTGCAATTTCTAGCAATCAATCTCTATTAAAACTGTTGGCACTTGATAAATGAATAAACCAAGACGAAAAAACCTGAATGAGACTCTGGCCGAGAGTGTGTAAGCGTGTAAACAAATTTTGGGTCACAGCAGACGACACTGTGCAGCAGACGACACTGTGCAGCAGACGCTACTCTGTAAATTACACGTCGTGCGCCCCATAGTGTAAAGAGTGTAGGCGACCACTTCTTTCAAGTTGTCTGCCGTCTGTATTATCGTGTCCGACTGAAACGATTATAGAATGACTGTACGATACCGGTAACTGAAAAGAAAACAATCTTTTGTCATATATAAAAACAAAAGTCAAAGCGCGAAAAAGGAAAGCCTCCCTGTTTTTGGACCCTAGAAGATGAAGGCCGCACTCGATCAGTCTCATATACAGATACTATATACGAATAAAGTGTATTCCGCATTATTCGAATCGCTGGCAAGCTTGGCAAGTTCAATGAACAACAAAGCAAACCAGGACTCACCCTCTAGTGCTTAATTCTTCCATCTAATCGAGAAAAAAAATCTGAGAAATTTGTTACGACAATTATTATTGCAGTCATATTACTAATATTGTTATTAGAACTATTCAAAAGCTCATTACTCTTTATTATTACTATCATAAATTATTATTAGAGTATTCCTATTGTGAATAATTCATATATATGCACAAGGGAATCACCTAGAAAGACCAACAACATCGACTGACATCGCATCACACAGACAAAAACCTCTACAAACCCGCTTTGAGAGTCAAGGATTAATAATCAAGAGTCTACGTGCACTGGAACATTTATTACAAAGTTCTATATATATATATATATATATATATATATATATATATATATATATACCCATCAAACGCGCAAAGGTTAATAAGACATAGCAATTACCGAAGT